GGGACCGGATGGTATTCCCTTCCCTTCCCTTCCCTTCCCTTCCCTTCCCTTCCCTTCCCTTCCCTTCCCTTCCCTTCCCTTCCCTTCCCTTCCGAGGAAATGGAAACACTCACACCATTATTGTGCTCTTTTGTTAAAATTTCCATCGAAATAAATAGGAGGCATTACTTTCAGAGCAAACTACATAAAACAGCCCCATGGAGCAGACCCTTCAAATGTCCCTGGCACTATGTGGAGAGCCCAGATGGTGGCTATTTTAGCCCTACATACCTGCAGCTTCCCCTGTGGGAGCACCCAGTGCAACCCTTGTGTCAAACCCAGGGCTGGTGCCACCCCAGAGCTGAGCTATCCCACACAGCCAGATGAAGGTTTCCCGAGGAACTATTGCTGCCCCCAGCATCTCATCACCAGGGCTTTGCTGGTGGAGCAGCTCCTCGGGTGTGTGGCTCACTGCACATCCCAGAGCCGAGCAGAGAGGGTGGGATGAAAGCAAGCATGGGAGTGAATGGGATTTTGCTGGGGCGAGACATAAATCTGCCACCCAGCTGGAGTGTTATCTCCTGCACCTCTGCAGTTTTCCTGATGATTTCCAGTGCCTGCATCCAAACCAATTGGGGCAACATTTTCCAGGCATGGTGAGGCAGCTTTGTGAGAAGATTTGCCAAAAACATCTTTACGTAGAGCCCTAGGCAACTGCAGTGGGTGTGCCTGATGTGAACTGACCAGGGAACACACCATACACCCAATAGGGTTCAACGCCAGCCCAGTGAAACCCACAGAAATGGCAATTCTCTGCTGGAATCCCATCACTTTCCCTTAGTGCATGGACCAGGAAGGCTGCAGAGGTGGGAGAGCCAAGTCCCTTGCATCGCAAAGGGATTAAGCTTCAGCAGGAAAGGTGCAAGCTGCAATTAATTAGCAGCTCGCTAAAACACACAGAGCACAGGTTTCTGTTCGGCAACTTTCTCCCTCCGTGCAGAGCCGCATTCCCGGTTAATGAGCTCATTGGCACCGCAGTCCCATAGCAGCAGAGCTCCTGGCACAGCATCACTTACCTTTCTCTTCACTTCCTCAGCAAATGCCTCTCTGGTTTCTCCACCATGGCAAACAACTCCGGTCTCTCCTTCCTCTCCTTCATCCCTCCTGCTCACAGCTGCCAGCCTTCTTCATCTTCATCTTCTTCCTCATCCTCACTGCTTTCCTTCCAAGTCAGTCCGGTGCACAGCCCCTCCTGCTGCCCCAGGGCAGTCAGACCTCCTTCTATCTGCAGTTAAACTGTTCCACTAAGGGCCGTAGGTTGAATATTACCAAACCCTCAATGAAGCAACAGTGGATTTGATGCCTTCAAAGCAGAGGGGGTTATCCCCAATTCTTTTTTTTTTTTTTTTTTTTTTTTTTTTTTTTCTGATTTCCATTCTTGGGATAAAAAAAAATCCAGCCTATATCATGAAGGAAAAAAAAAATCAGAGCTGGCCATTCTGCCAGCTTATCTCAGGCAATGCCAACTCCTGCAGTCTCACCTTTGGCCAAATACTGACTCACGAGCAGGGAGAGAAAAGCAGAGGCTGACAGCCCAGCACAGTGCTGGGTGCTGTTCTGGGAGAGAAAGATGTGTGTTTGGAACCAGGTGGACCCGAACAGCCATGCTGAGGGGTGGTGGTACAAGAGTGTGTGCTATGCTACAGAGCAGCACAGCCCTTCTGCAGGAGCTCTGCAGCCTGCGCTCCAGGCAGGTGGCTGTTTTTCCCTGCAGAAGGGTTCAAATGCAAGGAAGCAATGCTCAAACATGGGCCAGGACTGGGTGTCTCTGCCCTGCCTCAGCCCCAGTTCTGGCACAGCCTGGTCTGCTGGCTTGGGCCCTGGTGTGTTCCCTTTCCCCCAGAATGTTCCTACCTGGTCTTGTTGAGAAGGCAGGGACAAGGAGGAGCTGAGCTCTTTGCATCTGGTCCACCTCTGCCACGAAACAAAGCCCTGCAACCCCTTCACTGCCAGTGCTTTCATAGATATTCACACCTGCTTGGGATGCTTCTGCTCGTGGCCAGATCCTCCAGCTCACCCTCCAGCTTCCCCACTCCCACTATATTTTTGGGTCATTTGTGATGGCTACGGCTGTTTGCCAAAGGAACCTGACTCCTGTGGGTGCTGGCAAATGGAGCCAGGCTGAGGGCTCCTGGGAAGGTGATGTCCCACTGGAGGGCACGCAGTTGGCAGCAGCCCTGCCGCAGCCTCCCTAGCTTGCAGTTCTGCTGCTGGAGCGAGGCAGAAGGCAGTGAGTGTCAGGCCAAACAGCAGGGGAACCACGTGCATGGGCTTCCTGCTCCACGGCCAGGCTGCCCAGCGATGACTCAGCCTTGTGGTACGCTGCAATGGAGGCACTGAGCTTCTTTCCTCCATCTGGGTGCGCACTGAGCTTCCAGGTGTCAGTGGGCACCTGGGTGTAGAGGAGCTGAGGATCTGGACAGCATGTGGTGAAAGAAAGGAGATGGGGAGGGGCAGAGAGTGGGGGAGGCTGCAGCTGCACATGCATCCCACTTTGCTGCCCCGTTCCTCACGCTCACAGCCAATGTGGTGCATGGGCACACGGCTGTGCCGGGTGCTGGAAGCCCCAGGTAGGGATCAGCTATGGGTGAAGGAAAGTCAGTGACATCCACTGCTTCCAGCAGCAGAGATGCAGAGCTTTCTACAATTTGTTGTCTGCCCTAGGCATTAAGAGACCACTGTTGTGGATCTGTCAGCAGCCATACCCAGTGGTATTCCTGCTCACAAGGCAAGCAGTGTGCATAGCCCCAAATCCAGTGTTCAGCTCCCAGCCATTGCCCATGCTGATGGCTGCAGGGCTGGCACCCTCCAAGCACCACAGCCCTCCTGAGCACTGTGTCCCCTCTCAGCCACCATCTGCCACATCCATGGCAGCAGCAGTGAGCACAGCATGGGAGACAGCAGCGGAAAAACTTTCACACCTTGTGTTAAATCACTGATTTCGGGATTGATTTATGGGCATCGTTATTCATCTATGGCAGCAGCAACCCACACAGAGCAATGGCTAAAGGAGCTGAGTACTGCTGAGAAGGAAATAATCAACAGCAAACCTTCCATCTCTTACCTCCTGCCCGCTCGGTGTGGTGCTGGGATTGCCATATATTTACCTCTGCATGGTCCCAAAGCTGTCCAGACTCAACTAACACTATAAATATATATAGGTACATTTGTAAGAAAGATGGATAGGAAAAAAGGAAGCACCAAACCCATCAGCGATGTCAATTCTTTGAAGAAAAAGATTTTATTCAATACAACTAAATCATGCAGATCTGGTTCTACTTTCACTCGTAGAAATACTTTGGCCTCGTGGTCAGGTGGAGCAAACTCAGCACAGTTCAGGAAGTCTCCATCGTTACAGCGGTGCACAGAGAAAACTGAAACCAAATGCGTTGTACTGGGAAAAGGACGGGCACATCTCTGCTGCCTCATCTGCTGCCCACCCAGCAAAATGCTCCATAGGAATCTTAGTAGAAAACCCCATCCTTCCGTATGAAGGATCGCCTGTTGGCAGCTAGATCTATTTTCATAGGGCTCCCCGAGTGCAACTTCGCTGTAGCCAGCACAGAAGGTGTTTGGAAATAGTTCCGGGGGGTGTTTCTAGTGGCAGACTGACGTGAAATTAATGGTGAGGAGAAGTGCTGAAGTTTAAAATGGTCCCCGCAAAGTATGGGCGGCGTTACTAGTGTTGCTCTGCTGGGTTTGGTTCTTCAGCAGAACGGCTTTATTGGTAGTTCGCTCGTAGAATCATTAGCAGAGTTTTCACTCGTTGACGGCGTTTGAGTGACTGAAGAGATCCGGGCCTGGTGCTGCACTTCCCGTGCAACGCAAAAGGAAAAAGTCCGGGAACGTCCCTGTTTGTGCACACGTATTAATGCCCCCAAGCAAAGAAAAGCAGCAGAACGACATCCGCAGCGCCGTGCCCACCGTTCCTTACAGGAAAATATTTCATGCAAGATGGGGGGGGGGAAGTGATAAGAGCCGCCTTCTTCCCATCGAATTCAATTTCCAGCGCTGTTTTAGGAACAGTTCGTTTCTCCTCCACGAAATCCCCGTCCGTGTCGATGTCGGCGTAGGGAAGGTTTTCCTCAGCGGCTGAGGAACGAGGGAGAAATATCATCTTTCCCCACTCCAAACCGCTTCTCTCGGGTTCCGAACCCTCCGGGACGTAACGCGTTGTCCGCAGAGAAAACAAAACCGTGCAGCGCCGAGCGCGGAGCCGCGCAGGAAAGAAACGGAGCTGTGGGGGCTTCTGCCCGACGTCCGGAGATCGGGAAGCGAAGAAGGGAAGTTTTTCCTCCGAAGGAATCTTTCCCCTCCCGCCGCTGCCGTCGACCCCTACAGAGAGACCCAGGCAGCAGCGCGGCCCCGCACCGCCGGGCCCCGACGGACGGCCGCCTGTGTGCCCGGTGTCGTCGGGGAGAGAAATCTTCCAAATCCTGCCCGCAGGAAGCTCGGGCTTTTTTATTTTTATTTTTATTATTATTATTGTTTTCTTCCCTTTTTTTATTTTTTTATTTTTTTAAATTCCCACTCCCACCCGCACCCCCCCTTTTATTTCCTTTCCCAAAGTCAGAAGAAAACGAAACAAACCAAATTGCCGAAGAACCGAGCACGAGTCCGATTTCTTTCGGAAGTCCCCTGCAGAACCGGTGCCGCGGAGCCCCTCGGAGCGGCGGGGCGGCCAGCAGAGCCCCTTGCCCGGCCCCGCTCCCCTTCCTGCGATGCCCGCTTCGCTCTCCCGGGGCCGCGGCCGCCGTCGGTGTCGGCCATCCGCGATCCGCCTCCCCCGGGACACCGCAGTCCCGGCCCCGCACACCGCTTCGGCTCGGGGAGCTCCGGGGGGAGAGGCACCGCGGATCCTCGGAGAAAGCGGCCCCGAGCTCTGCCACGGGGCCCTGAGGGTCCCTCCGCTGTCCGGGGCGAGGCCGGGGCCGACCTGGAGGGGTTGCTGGAGGTCGCGGTCACGGCTGCAGATCCTCTTTGCCCTGCAGCTTCCCGGAGGACACCACGCAGTCCTGCTCGGGATCAGCGCTGTTGGCCGTCCCCCGCTTTTTGTCTTCTTCTTTCTTCCATTTCATCCGCCGGTTCTGGAACCAGATCTTGATGTGTCTCTCGGTCAGGTTCAGCATGACGGCCAGCTCCACCCGCCGAGGCCGGGAGATGTATTTGTTGAAGAGAAACTCCTTCTCCAGCTCCAGAAGCTGCGCTCTCGTGTAGGCCGTCCGCGTCCTCTTGTTCTCCTCCGGCTCCACCACGTAGGAACCCCCTGCAGAGAACAACTGTCAGCCGCGGCCGCCCCGTCGGGGAAGCGAGGGGGCGACGAGAGAGGCAGAAGCCGAACCAACCCCCTCCCCGCTCCGAGCTGCGCCACGCTGTGCGCGGTTCCCGCGGCCACTGATGGTTCTTTTTGTAAACGTTTGGACGAAGTGTTCAGTGAATCGACGTGGAAATAAATCAATCCACTGAAGTAAATCGCCAGAAATGGTAAAAATAATTTATATTAAAAAAAAAAAAAAAAAAAAAAAAAAAAAAAAAAAAAAAAAAAAAGGGAAAGGGAAAAAAAAAAAAAGGAAAAGAAAAAGAAATAGAATCAAATTTTACCTCTCCATGGTAAATGCCTGGAGGAAAAAAAAAAAACAAAAAAAACAAAAAAACACCCATGACTGCACAGGCTTCGTCCAGGCCGTAGCAGTGGGGATGTGGGATGGGAGCACGGAGCCCCGTTTGGGGGCAGCCGGAGTGCCCGGCTTGGGAAGACCTTTGGTTCCGTGATCCTGGAAACGGTGACAGCGGCGACATCACCGTTCCCAGTACGGACTCCTCTGTGTCCCGGAGGGGCCGGGAGCTGGGGGAGGTGTCACTGCGATGTCACCCGCGCCCGGAGCCCCAGGGGACACCTCGGAGTGGTGGCAATGCGACCTCCGGTGCGTCGCGATTGAAACAGCAATTGGATCGGCTGGATGTGGAAAAGGCCGCCTGGCTTTTTGTCCCCGGGACACATCCGTATGAAAATACATAGAAATACAGAAAAATATGTAAAATACGTAAAAATGTAGAGAAAAATTAAATTAAAATGAACGTTTATCTCTTTAACATACACGTTTGTACGTGGTTGGGCATTAAGGAATCGCACTGTTGGGGTAAAGCAATCTGGCAGCACTGAAGGGGAACCCCGCGGTCAGAATGTTTTGGGTCAGGATCTCAAATGCTGACACCGGGGTTTGGCTGCAGGCACTCCACGGGCATGAGGGGCGCAGTGTGGGGAGAGAGGTGATGGCTTCAGGTTGTGCCAGGGGAGGTTCGGGTTGGATATTAGGAAACATTTCCTCTCCAAAAGAGGCGAGGCAGTGGCACAGCTGCCCAGCGAGATGGTGCAGTCACCATCCCTGGAGCTGTTCAGGAGCCGTGTGGATGTGGCACTGAGGGACGTGGTCAATGGGCACGGTTGGGGTGGGCTGACGGTTGGACTAGGTGATCTTAGAGGTCTTTTCCAACCTTAATGCTTCAAAGTGTGGGGAGGGGTGCGGGTGTCCGCAGCTCATCCCCAGTGCCATGCGCTGCTCAGCGCTGCCTGGGAGCAGCGGAGAAGGGTTTGGGACTTCAGAGGGGAAAGTTTTGTTTTGTCGAGGTTTTGGTCATTCCTCGGCTTTAAGGGGAAAAAATAATATATATATATACACACAGATATTTTGAGAATGCGACTTCCCAGACTATTTCACGGTGATTTCAGCCCTCCAGTCCCTTTTCAACTGTCTATTTGAACAAAGCCATTAATATAATATTTGCCGTATAGGCGTGACAAAAGCGCAGGACACGATAACATTGTGCAGGCAGAGACAGAAATATTGTTCCGCAGCGGAACTTTCTGCCTCGATAGAGTTTCTTCCCCTCGCTGGCACCTCCGATTCGTTTGTGCATTGTTCCCCCTTCCCCGGGCTCTGGGTTGTAAAGGTGCGATCCTGATCGAGCCACCGCTGCGGGCTGCGGGGCGCCGGAGACAGCGGGGGGGTTCCTGTTGGGCTGCGGGGGCTGCCCCGTTTCCGCACGCCGCGGGATGGGGTCCCCGCGGAAGCCCCCCGAGCTCCCCGACGACGAGTCCTTGCCTGCCGCATCCCGACGAAAGGTTCGTCGAGGAAAGGGAATTCGTGGGGATCAACGCGGGGTTTGGGCACCGCCACCCCTCCCCGACTGATGTGAACGGGACTTTAACCCGGGCGGGCTCAACCCGACGGCGGGGACCCGGCGGCAGCGGAATCGGAGGGCTGCGGGGGAGCGGCCAGACTGCTGCGGGACCCCCACGATCGGAGCCTTTTCGGTTCCTTCCGAAAGGGAGGAGGCGGCGGGGCTTACCTGCCCACTGCCCCTTCCAGGCGTGCGACTTGGTGGACTTCATCCAGGCGAAAGGCACTTGCACCCGGGGTTCCTCCATCGCCCCCGGATCCGCCCCGTCGGAGAAAGGCAGAGCGTCCTGGTGCGGGGGAGGGAGGTGAGGGTGGTGGTGGTGGTGATGCAGGTGGGAGACCCCGGCATCCTCGCTGATGGGGGGCACCTCGTAGGGAGAGATGTCCGACGGGCTGCCCTGCTCCAGCGCCCCCAGAGAGCCGGGATACGGAGCCTGCTGCTGCCGGCCCACGTAGAGGCAGGCGGGGGGACTGGGGCTGTAATCCTGCGCTCTCTGGAAGGCGCACGGCTCCTTGTAGAGCTGCGCCGAGGCGTAGTACTGCTCCTCAGTATTCATGACGGCGGGCCGGGGGGTCCGGCAGCTAGGGGCACATCGGGCTGCTCCCGCCGCCGGGATCCCTCTTTGACAGCTCGCCGCCCCGTCGGGCCCCGCCGCCCTGCCCGGCTCCCGCCGCCTCCCCATAGGCGCCGCACCCCCACGTGAGCCCTCCCGCAGCCCTCCGGGGCGGGGCGGGACCCATAAGAGGCCACTGGGGTGGCCCCGGCTTCACAGAACCGTTTTCCCCGTTTTCGCCCCGCTGGTCAAATACATCTGACTCCACTCGATGAGCCCCGTGATGGGGCTCCGGCGTGCGGGGCGACCCCAAAAGCTACCCCGTGCCCCCCCCCCTTTAAACACGGGCTGCTCATCCCTTCCAGGAGATCCTTTCTAGGAGGTGGCAAAAGACTCCTGGGGGGCCTGGCTTCGGGGTGAGGTCGGGGCTTCTCGGACAGGGATGTGGAGAGGGGAGTGGGAACTGCGGGGGGACCCCAAGCAACAGAGGCGCGCCAGAAGCTCTCTGTGCCCCCTGCCCGGGGGATGCGGCCGTGGGGGACCACAATGCTATCGGCAGAGCGAGCGATAGGCAGCGGATTGTTTGCCGAAAGGGGAAATTTTGGAGCCTTCCCCGCGGTTCGGGCTGCAATGTGTTGACCCTCGGAGATAATGTGCTCCAAGTCGGTGCCGGTTGACTTGGTGACGAGGCTATGGGGAGGCGGAGAGCTACCGAAAGGGACAAAGATCATTTCCCTGCCTCCCTGCGCTCGGCCCGCAGGCCGCTTTCTCCGGCTCAGAGGCAGGCACGCTTCCTCCTTTGACCGGCCCTCCTCCTCCTCCTCTCACTGCCCTTTCGCTCAGCTCCATGCCCGGCTCCGGGCGCTCCGTGCCGGTCTCCGATCACAGCTGTCGGGGCGCGCACCGGACGCTCCGTCTCCGAGGGCTCGGCCGGCCCGGCCCGGCTCGGTGGAGGTGACGCATCCGTGGGCAGGAGAGGAAGGAGGTTCCCCGGTACCTGGCTCAGAAGCCGGGATCATAAAAGCGCCCAGTCCATTACATAGAAAATGAGTTTCCGCTATGAATGCATTCGGGCCCCCCATCTCTCAGAAAGCACACCGAGCCTTTGATTCAATATTGAGCCATTAAGCAATTGCTTTCTCAAGCCATTTAACAGCAGCTCTTATGGATAAATAAACAAAAAAGGCTGTAAACCAATTATAGTGCGGATAGTGAAAAAGTATTTTATTAGTGGGAATTACCGATAGGCATCGCTGCTCCTCCGGCTCCCCCCAACCCGGAGCCTTCCCCCACATCCCCTGGCTGCTCTGGTACGGACCGTGCCTGGGACACAGCCCTGTGCCCGCCCCCACCAGGAGGATGCGTTCCGTGGGAGTGGGCTCGAGGTCCTTTGGTCCCTCTGGAGACTTCTCACACGCCTCCCCCTCGGCTGGAAGCTGGGGTGGTTGGAAGCCCCCAGAGCTCTGTGATGAAAGTGGGGCTCAGCCTTTCCCTGCACCGCGGGGAATCACCGTGGGGTGGGGATATGTGGAGGGCAGGGCGTCGCGAAGCCCATTCTGGGTGGGGGTATGGGGCGGTTGTGGGCTCCTCACAGCTCCATCCTCATCCCCACGGGGAGCCCGGCTCCACACTGCTCCCCACAGCATTTACAGCCCCACGTTTTCCACGGGGAACCGGAGAGGACAAACAAACGCGTGGCCATAAAAACCAGAGCAAATTGATTTCATCTCCAGGTAGGACCATTACCCGGCGTCTTAATGCGGTCCTCTCTCTATAACGAACATTTCTAAATAGAGCAAACATTTCCCCCCTCCAAAGCAAATGAATTTCGTATAATTTAGAGCTAATTCTCTTTCATTCTGCCTGCGTGAGCAGGTGATAAGGGCATGCTTTGTCGTGCTAACAACAAGACAGAGAACTGCAGCACAGGAACAGGACCTGTGATGGGGACCCTGCTTGTGCCTGGGGGGACGATGTCCAGCAGAAGTGGGAGCTGAACCCACCCAGAGCCCGTCCTGCCTGCTGCCGTGCAAGAACTGCAACAGTTTGTGCTAAAGCTTAAATTAAAGCATCATCCTTAATTCTCCAGCTGGGAGAGCTTTGAGATGTGTAGGCATGATGCAAGGAATTAGGAGGTGAAGCATTGATCTTGTTTATATACATGAACTCAAAGGACCAATGACTCTTGAATACTTGGCAGGATGAGCCCAGGGAAGTGCTGCCCAAGGAGGTGGTGGGGTCACCATCCCTGGGATGCTCGAGAATCACAGAACTGCAGGGGTCGGAAGGGGCCTCAGGACATCACTGAGTCCAACCCCCCAAAAGAAACATGGAGATGTAGCACTGAGGGACGTGGTTAATGGACAAAGTGGGGATGGGTCAACACTTGGACTAGACGATCTAGAGGTCTTTTCTAACCTTGATGTTTCTTATTGATTTTCAGGACTCCTGCACACCTGTTGGCACCTCCCAGCAGGAAGCTGCCCAACAGCCCAGACCCAAGGCTTTGGCAGGCTTGTGAGGTGTTGAGGATATTGGCTGTCCTGTCTAGAGGTAACTGTGCAAATAGAAGGCTGATGATAAAAGGAGCATATTCATTTCGGCTCATAAGTGTACAACAGCGTTTAGTGTCTAACCACTGAAAACTGTGAAAGCAAAAGCAAGGAAGATGTAGCATATTAGAACAAATCCCACAGGGATGCTTGGGTTCACCTTCAAGCTCAGTACTTCGTGACACTGAGTCTGGACAATGCACTCAGATGTGTGGTCTGATTTTAGGTGGTCATGTGTGGAGCCAAGCATTGGACTTGATGATCCTTACGGTCCCCTTCCAACTTGAGATATTTTATGATTCCATGACTCTACCTTAACAGTTGGCTGGACGTGTGCTGCGGGCCAGCTGGAGATCCTGGGTTTTACTCTTTTGGGGAACTTTTTACAGCCTCACCGTGGAGATAGGGTGCTCATGCTTTCTGCTCTGTGTTGTGTCTGATCCATGAGCACAGCCTCACAATCGATAGCACGGTCACAGCTCATGCTGAGAACCACTCTGGCAAGTCCAAGCGTTTCCTCTGATGGCACCTCACTCCTCCAAGGTGATTTTCTACAGCATCCCCATGATCCACCTAGAAGTTAAATTCTTATTGTGAGTTGGTTGTTCCAAGAGATTAATTTAAAGTAATTGAAGGATAACAGCAACTGTAGCAATACTAAACAGTGTAGGCACACCATAATTATCTCCTCCACCAGAACAGGAATTCATATAACCCAGTATCAATAACAAATATTTCAGGTACTCAGCTGTTGCTGTCCTACAGTGAGATATGCAATAACCACACTGTAATACTTGGATGGCCATATCAGATTCAAGTCTTTCAAGCACTTGTTGAGGTTTGATGTCATTTTCTCACTGGGTGTTTGCCCAGCAAAGAAGAGGTTGTCTGCACAGTAGAATGGTTTTCCATACAGTATGAAACCCAAAACTTTTTACAATGCATCGTGTGGTTGAGTGCCCTGTGATCTGGAACACCAAGCTATGTACCTGATGTCATATCTGTGTGGTTTTAAAATGTCTGTCTTAATATATATACCATCAGATATGGAATGGAACCTCCTGAAATTCAATGGAATTTCCAAAGCTTTTACTCTAAGTATTGAATCTGGGAGCTTAGTTTGAAAGCCGTGTCTGCTTCCTCCCCAATGATGTCCAACAGACACTGCTGGGATCAGTGAGTTGTAGAATCATCTGGACACGATGTTTTCTTCCTTGGAAAGGTGGCAGGACCATTTTGTTTGCCATTCAGTGCAAATAATTGTGATCTCCCACTCAATTTTCCCTACTCTCCTGTGGTGACCAATGGCAGTTCCATCACCCCCCTCTCTGGTAACTGACCAGAAGAGTGATTTCTTAGTGCCCAATTGCATTTTTTGCAGTTCACTTTTTAACAGGAAAGATGGCTGGAGCACACTCAGAGCAGCACTGTGAAGCTGTCCCCATGGCAAGGGCTGCAGCAGGAGAAGGAAGAGCTGATGGCAAAACAGTGTTCCCAGGGACTGACTGTTAAACCCCCACATCATGTATCTAGCAGAAAGGTAACCTTTCACAGAGCTGGTTAATAATCAATAACCATGTGAAAACAAAGCTGTCTTTCCCTCGGAGCACTGATGATAAAAACAAGAGCATGAACCATTCCAGCTGCCTTCAAGCAACACTGGTTCAGCATTTCTTTTTTTTTTCCTTTTTCCTTTTGTGAGAAGCTGTTTTGGTCTCTGAGGGGTTCTACATTCACATAATGCTCCTGCAGCTCTCTCTGTCCAGCACACATAAGCTCCTTTGTGGTGGAATATAGCAGTACACATCCATGTAAGCCAGTTTGATTCAGAGCTTGTCCATGAAATATGTAGGATACCTGTCTTACAAAAGGTTGAGAGTAGGAGAGGTTTCTGTCATTTTAGACCTCCCCTTTTAAATCTCATGATTATTTTTTTTCGTAATTGCTGTTTGTGGCAGAAATACTGCCAGAGAGCAGAACGACCTCATTGCCATGCAGGAAGAGTTGAACAATTGCTTTGAAACACTGTGAACATTTCTACTGAAAATAAAGCATGTTCGCATTGTCTGCTCTGCACATCTTTGTTTGCGCCTTCATGGTTAGAATGCCTGAAAGATGTGGGAGTGTGTCTACATTAATATCTGCATCTACATCTACATCGACATCAATGTCAACATCGACATCAGCAGTGATATCCACATCTACACTGATATCGACATCAGCACTGACACTGACCAACACTGACATCTACATCATCTAAATATGTGTTGATACGTACATCACTGTTGACACTGACACCTACATGTACATCTACATGTGCATCTACCCAGTTTCTACACCCCAAAACCGCTGCTGCTCACATTTCCCCCTTGGACTCCTTGGGTGGGTGCTGTGTTGCAGAGCAGGCTGGCAGGCCCAGCCATGCAGGTGCTGTTCAGGCTGCTGTTGGCTCACCTGGTGGTTCTCACCACGGCCCTCCCTCTTGTTTGTCCACTACAGCTTTGCCAGGCTTCAACCACTTGGGCTGAAATTTTCCATTCCGTAGCTCTGTCTCTCCCAAACATTCAGGGGCTGGGT